ACATGTACATGTACATACATGTACATACATGTACATACCACATGTACATGTACATACATGTACATACATGTACATACCACATGTACATGTACATAATTATATGTACATACATGTACATACCACATGTGCATGTACACCACGTGTACATGTATATATGTATTACCTGTGTACATGTAAAGTAGATGCGGGGGTAAAGGGTTGCACGAGTAGAGCTGGTGACACGCGGTCTGTAATCTACTGCATACACTTCGTCTGCATACATGTACTAAGTTGCTAATCTTCGTCTGTCATCAGTGCCAAGCCGGGTCAGGATTGATTTGCAGAGACGGGGGATCAGAGTTTACATTTAATATTAGATTTTATAGTCACTGCGATATTGAACAGTGGCTCGAACCAAGCGTTTGGTTATCAAAATCCATAATCAATTTCATCGAAAAAAAAAATCGAAATAAATGTAAAACTTGAACATGAAAACTTGGAAAATTGATGAGAATCAGAGATATCATCGCTATTTTAGTTCGGGAATCACTCGACAGTCGCCGCAGTTACTTCCTGTTGAGGAGCTAAAGCCCGGCGCACACGTGAGTTATTTTACTCAAGTAAAATGACGCATGAGTTATTTTACTCACGTGTGCGGCGGATTTTCGTTGAGTAATTTGACTCATGCGTCATTTTACTTGAGTAAAATAACTCACGTGTGCGCCGGGCTTAAAGCCTAGTACACACTAGGGATTTTATACGCTGGCTAAACAAGCACATACATGCACAAACGTACATGCACACGACGTTACGCACACGCAGGCATTCAACACCCCGAGTAACCGATTGTAACCGAGCATCGGTTACTTGGGTCCAACCGATGATCGATTACGAAATTACAACCGATTGACAACACTATAATATATATATATATAGCTCTCATCCTCCCCTGCTCTACCCCTTTCATTTTACAGCCTCTCTTACTATCTCCGCCTCTCTTTCTGCCTGTCTCTTACCCCCCTCCCCCTCCCCCCATCTCTCCTCACTCTCTCATCTATATTTCACGTTGGCGTTGCGCCTAATGCACACAACGCTTAATTCGTGCTCTCGCATCCCGCGCTCCGTTTTTCCCTGCCTCTCTTCTTTCTTCTTTCTCCCCCTCCCCCGCGCCCCCACAAACAATACATACTGTCTATGCTTGCTTCGTAACGATTTTCAGCAGCGATTTCTCTCCACGGCCGCCGCAGGCGTGTTGACGTCATGTCGACGCGCGCTGATTGGCCGGGGCGCGACCACGTGACGAATGCGATCCGTCATTCACAAACTCGCGCGTTCAGCCGGGGCAGACGGCATACAAAGTCAGTAGAGTGTGGTTGCGATAGCGCCAGAGCGAGCGAGCGAGAGTGCTATATATATATATGTACATGCTTCGTGTGTGCGTTGTCTCCACATACGCATATATCTGATTTTTTTTTTATATCCGACGTCCTTCGAGAAGATACGGAGAGTGACTCTCGCGGTTGCATATACGCCAAGAGGAGAGAATTCCCACGCGCGTGTATAGCGTGTGTGATACAGAGACATATCCATCGATACACAGACACGTACGTATACGGCAACCCGCGTGCGTGCGTGCGTGCGTGCGTGCGTGCGTGTTAGTGTGTAACTCATGTGCTCGTGTTCGCATGCCGTGCTAACGAGACGGAAGCGGAGCCAGGACGCCTCACTGCCGACAGCGTCAACGCCACCGCCAACCCTCATTGCTCAATGCCAGAACGGGAACAACAACAACAGCAGCAGCAGCATCGCGGCGACGGCGACGACTACATACATCCGACGATGACGATGCCGTGTCCGCAGCGGTCGCCGACGTGGCTGGACGCTCAATTCTCCGCCCTCACCACCACCACCACCACCACCACCGCCGACGCGTCCGTCCTCGTCGTCGACGTCCGTCCGTCGGCCGCCTACATGGAGCGCCACGTGCGCGGCAGCGTCAACCTATGCCTGCCTGCGTCGCATCTGATGTTGCGTCGGCTGACGAGCGGACGCATGCCGCTGTCGCAGTGCGTCACGCCGGCGAGCAGCCGAGAAAAGTTCGTCAGGCATTCCACGACGCGCCTGCTCGTCCTCGTGCACGAGGGAGACGCCAGCGCGGGAGGAGGAGGAGGGGGAGGCTCGGAGGTACAGCCGATGGACATCATATATAAGAAGCTGATCGGAGACGGTTGCCAGTGCGTCTCCCTAGAAGGTACGTGTTCGTGGTATAGGGTGCATGTATGTATTATATAATATAATCTTATAACAGGGACTGACCCTAGTACTAGTACTAGTAGTACTAGTAGTAGTAATAGCTCTAGTACTATTATATCCCGCGTACAGTTGCCACAGGCACTTGGAACGTCTCAATAAAAACAATAGGCGATTATAGGCGAAATAGAGTAGAGAAACGCGGGCTATAGTGCTAGAGCTCGGGGTGACCCTAGCTCCAAGAAACGGTATTGCTAGGGTTAGAATCCGTCGCACAGCCTGGTCGGGCTAGGGGTGACCCCTGATAATATTTATATCTCCATGGCAGAGCATCACGTGTCTGATAGTGAAATGGTATATATAGCTATATTTACCTACGTACATGTATAACAGGAGTTAATAAAGACAAATGTAAGACTCCTGATGTACATGTACACTACATGTACATGTACACACTACATGTACATGTACACACTACATGTACATGTACACCACATGTACATACATGTACATACATGTACATACATGTACATACCACATGTACATGTACATACATGTACATACATGTACATACCACATGTACATGTACATACATGTACATACATGTACATACCACATGTACATGTACATACTAAATCTAGATGTACAGGTACAATACATAGCCACATGTGCATGTCACCACGTGTAATTAATATGTATACCTGTGTACACTGTAATAGAATCGCGGGTAAAGGTGCACGAGTAGAGCGGTGTACCGCGTGCTGTAAATCTACTGCATAACCCGTTCTGCTACATGATACTCAACGTTGCAATTTCTTCGTCGTCCATCAAGTGCCAAGACCGGTCGGATTA